TAGTTTGGTGGAAGCTAGTGTCTGCTAAACAACATATTCCAAAAGGTTTTTTATTTGTTTGTTTTTCAAGACAAGGTTTCTCTGTGACTTTGGAGTCTGTCCTAGAACTCTCTTTGAAGAGCAGGCTGGCCTCCAACTCACAGAGATCCGCCTGCCTCTGCCTCCGGAGTACTGGGATAAAAGTACTGTGCCACCAACGCCCGGCAGGTTTTTTTACTTGTTTATCACAGGATGTTAGGACCAACACAGAGGTGGGTAAGGAAAGGCTGTTTAGGGAGCCTAAATATAGCACAAGATAAGTAGTAGTTAGTTTCTGGACCTGCAACATTCCAGCCTCCCCATACTACTGCTGTTCTCATGAGTCAGCCTTTGTAGACACGGCTGCTTTCCAAGAAACATCATAGCAGGATACCTTGGTTTGAGCTGGTCCTGCCGCTGAAGATCTCTACACAGTCCAAGTCAGCCCTAGCCTACCAGACAGACCTCCCAAGACTTCTTTCGTCCCTCCCTTCCTTGCTCTTTGAGGGTCTCACTACGCATCACTGGCTAGCCTTGAACTCGGAGTCTTCCTGCCTTTGCCTCCTGAGTACTGAGATTAAAAGCGGATGCCTCTGGGCTGGAGAGACAGCTCAACGGGTAAGAGCCCTGGCTGCTATTCAAGAGGACTAAGTTTCAGATCCCGGAATCACATGGCTCTGCTTACAATTGTAAGATCAGTTCCGGAGACTCCAGCGCCCTCTTCTGGTCTCATTGGATACTGCATGCACGTGATGCAGGCTCACGCGCATAAAATCTTTTTCTGTCGTTTTTGGTTTTGATTTTTCTTTCCAAGACAGGGTTTCTCTGTGTAACAGTTCTGACTGTCCCGGAAGTAGCTCTGTAGACCAGGCTGGCTTCGAACTCACAAAGATCCACCTGCCTCTGCCTCCCAAATGCTGAGGTTAAAGACTTGTGCCACCACCGTCCAGCTTAAAAAAAAAAAAAAAGAATGCAGTCACGAAGCTCACTCTTTCGTTTTCTCTCTCTCTCTCCTCCTTCCTTTTTTTTTTTGTTGTTGTTGTTTTGTTTTTCGAGACAGACAGAGTGTCTCTGTGAAATAGTTCCAGCTGTCCTGGAATTTACTTGGTTGACCAGGCTGGCCTCGAACTCACAGAGATCCACCTGCCTCTGCCTCCCAAGTGCTGGGATTAAAGGCATGTGACACCACCACCCGGCCCTTCTTTTTTTTTTAATTAATTAATTTATCTTTGCCATTCCAATCCCAGTTCCCCCTCCCTGCTCTCTCCCTGCTACCCCCACCTCCCCATCACCCCACCTCCCATCTGCTCCCCTAGGAAGTCTGCTGAGCCTGTCCCATCATCTCAGTGAGGCAGGTCCCAGGCACCTCCCCACCCCACAGCCCTCTGTCTAGGTCCTTTCTTTTCTTTCTTTAATAGCTTAGTAAGTAGAGCATAGGAAGGCAATGATCTGGGTAGTAACTAGAGTACCGACATGCTGCCCCAAAGCCTTTATTATTATCATTATTGATTATATGTGTGGGCTTTTCCTCTACCGGTATGTCTGTGCACCTTTAGTGTGCCTGGGGCCCAAGAACACCAGGAGACGGTATCAGAGCCCCTGGAACTGGAGTGACAGGCTGTGATAAGCCACCATGTGGGTGCTAGGAACTGAAGCCAGAGCAGGCATCTCTCCGCGCCTCAAGACACAAATGGCTCCTCACAGGTCACAGCTCGACACCTTGGACCTTCCCTCCTGGCTGCCCTTTCTCGGAAGGAGTTGCTAGGCAAAATTCCTTCCCTTGCCCCGTCTGTCAGAGGTGCTTGTCTTTCAGAGTCAACTATCACACCCACAAGCCTTTCTGGCTTGTCAACACATCCCTCAGCTTCCCTTCTCGGACTCACCGCAGCTTTTGGGTTTTGCTTACCCACCGGCACTGTATCTTACTTCGTTTATAATTGTTGTAATCAGTAGCCTTAAATCTCAGTCTCCGAAGACAGCGGGCAAGGGCGGATAGGATACGTTCAAAGCGATCACTGGAAATTTCTTAAGGAGGTACTCATTTAAAGAACAATTTACCGGCCTGTGCGGGATTGAAGGCAGCACTGTCACAGCCACATGAACAGGTCTGGCACCAGGTCCTGGAGACACCATTTAGCCTTTTTTTTTTTCCGAATTCAGGGCCTTGGGCTTGCTAGGCAAGTGCTCTACACCAACCCCGTTTAGCCTTCAAGAACCCCACTGCTCTTGCAGAGAGGGGGTCTGGGCTGGAACCCAGCACCTACATAGTGGCTCCTCAGTGCCTGTAACTCTAGTTCCAGAGGATCTAACTTCCTTTCTCACCTCCTTAGGCATCAGGCACATACATGGTGCACAGACAAAACACTCATACACACACACACACACACACACACACACACACACACACACACACACACACACAATTAAAAACTTAAGGTCTGACTGCACAGAAGGACCATAACATATTAACTGCAAAATGTTCAAGGCAGAGTCACGGGGTCCAACACACCTGAATCCCAGATATGTGATAAGATTGCTGATCCATTTAAATTCTTCTCTCGGGCTGGGCGTTGGTGGCGCACGCCTTTAATCCCAGCACTTGGGAGGCAGAGGCAGGCGGATCTCTGTGAGTTCGAGGCCAGCCTGGTCTACAAGAGCTAGTTCTAGAACAGCCTCCAAAACAATACAGAGAAACCCTGTCTCGAAAAACCAAAAAAAAAAAAAAAAATTCTTCTCTCCTTCTCTTAGAGCATGCAATTGAACCCATGTATTCTAAAAGCATTTACAATGGGATTTTACAGTACCTAAAGTAGATTTAGGAGTGATTAAGACCCTGACAACAAACTAAGTTGTTGGATTCCTGGCTCCAGCGCTTACTGAGGATGTACATAGCCTTGCTGAGGTTCTTAATCGCCTGCTTTCTTCCACCTGCATTTATGTCTGCAAAAAGGGAACAGTAATAAGGCCAAGTTAATAAGCTTGCTTGAAGGATAGAGTCAGTTACTCCATAAAAGCATAGTACTTACCCTGTAAGTCTCCTCTGTGGCTGCTGTCTTCTGATGGGCAGTGAGGTCCTTCTGTTCTGTAGTCCTGGCTGCAGCCTGGAACTCAGCCTGTAGCTCACTCAGGCTGACCTCAGGTTTTCAGTAAGCCTCCTGAGTGCTGAGATCCATAGGTCTGCGCCATGCGTTGCCAGATCCTCTGTGTTTTGAATGAAAGTTAAGGCAGTTAATGTATCCGTATATTATACACTTCGTGCCTGTGTGTTTGCGCGGTGGATCTGAGCTCGTATTACTTGTCCTGTCGGTGCTCAGTGTTCCCGTCCGCAGGAGAAGACAGCAAGGAGACCCCTCTTGTTTCCTGGTGAACAAGAGGCACTACGTAGGCCGGCTGGCTTCACTCACAGCAGTCCTCCTGTCTCAGCCCCCTGATGCTAGGATTACCTTAATAGTTTCCAAGTTCCCAGTATTCCTGATTTAGGGAATGGCATTGTGTGGCATGTGTGTGAGCGAGACAGAGAGACACACAATGAGAGACAGAGAGAAGTATGCACGGGGACCCTCTCCATGCAGGGCTCATGGCAGCCAGAGGCTAGCATCGGGTGGCTTCCGCAATAAGGTTTCTGTAGCGTATTTATTGAGACATGGTCTGTCCCTGACCCTGAAACTTGCTGACTTGGCTAGGCTGGCTGGCCATGGAGCCCGGAGGATTATCTGCTGTCCCCACCCCCACCCCAGCAGTAGGACTGCAGGTATGTTCTGCTGTGCCTGGCTCCCGTGAAGATGCCGGGGGATGACCATAGGTCCTTATGTTTATGTTTGTGCGGCCAGTACTTTACCGTGGAGCCGTCTCCCTAGCCCTCAACACCCTTTTTGTAGGTCAAAAAACAAAACAAAAAACAAAGAAACCAACCAGGTTTTCTTGCTTTCTAATCAGAGCCTATCACCTGTTTTGTTATGTAACTGTTGGCATCTGTTATCTCTCCTTCCTCACTGGGAGTCCTGAGACTCTAATTCAGGCTTGGTGCCAAGTGCTTTTCCTCCACGGAGCCCTCTCCACTCAAGCTTTGGGAGAGAACATTGTTAGTTCACGGGAGCCCGAGGAATGCAGCTCGGGCAAGCAGCGTGAACAGGACTCTGCCCTTGACCTCCTTCCTGTGAAAAAAGGGTGAATGGGAGGCAGGGAGGGGTGCGGGGGAATACTGGGTTGCCCTTGCTTCCTCGGTTTCCCTGATGGGCGTGGCTACCTCTTGTCCATCAGGCCAGCCTCCAGACACCCCACACTACCGTAAATGCAACTGTGCTCCAGGTTGGCTATGAAATAGAAGATGACCTTGACGTCCTCCTAGGTCCTGCTTGCTCTACTTCCCCAGTGCCACCATGCCCATCACAAAGCACAGACATATTTTATTTTAAAAGCTCGCTAGCTGGGGGTGGGGCGTTGGTGGCGGTGCAAGCCTTTAATCCCAGTACTTGGGAAGCAGAGGCAGGCAGATCTAAGTGAGTTCAAGGCCAACCTGGTCTACTGTGTGTGTGTGTGTGTGTGTGTGTGTGTGTGTGTGTGTGTGTGTGTGTGTGTGTGTGTGCGCGCGCGCGCGCGCAGGGGGGAGAGTGTGTGAGAGAGAGGGAGGGAGGGATGAAGGAAGAAAGGAAGGAAAGAAGGGAAAAAGAAAACCGTGTAAATTCGGCACTTCCCTTTGTGCTCTCTAAGTAAGCATGCCTGGAACGTCTGCCACTTTCCTGACATGTCCGACCATCTGTACGGTACACTAGGTAGGTCATACGAGACTGGAAAAATCCTGTGCTCAGCAGCTCATTCGTTTATGCAGCCAAGTTAACAAACCCTGGAAACCCGAAGTGAACTGTGGAATCTGTAGTAACTTCGGAACTAACCGGATGCTTGGAATGGCAGTCCTTTTAACTCATTGCTGGAGGGTGGGGTGAGGTGGGGAGGGGAGGAACTCCGCCGTGGTGGCTCGTTGGTCTAGGGGTATGATTCTCGCTTTGGGTGCGAGAGGTCCCGGGTTCAAATCCCGGACGAGCCCAGCTCCTATTTTTCTACTCTTCTGGAAGTAGCTGTGAAGTTCCTCCTGTTGAAATTCCAGAAGACAGCAAGACAAGAGAAGAGCGCCCTTGCATGAGAGTTGTCTGGGTGGAGGTCCGGTTCCTCGCTACTCGAGCCTTAGGAGCTTCGCCACGGAAGGAGGGAACCGGTGCTTTGGTCTGCAGAATTCAGAGACCGGTCGGCCCAGATCTGCTGGGTATTCCGAGGTCAGCCACAGCTGCCTCGGAGAGGGATTTCCAACCCTGGACAGAGTCCCCAGGGCGGCTAGGACACAGCGACTCTCCGGGGGAGGGAGGAGACCCGCCGGCCGGGGCCTGGGGTGCTATCTGCCGGGCGGTCCACCTGCCCCATCCGCGCGCACCCTGTCTTCGGGCCAGCGCGCCGGCGGCTCTCAGCGTCTGCCTCCCACCTAGGCTTTGGCCTCGCTGCTGGGCCAGGCACGACCCACAGCAGGCTCGCTGTACCACAGGGGGCCGCGCCGCCGACTCCGAGGCCGGATCGGGGCTTCTAGGAGTGGTGGCCGGGCTCTTGGGAGGACCGCCCGTCGGGAACAGTGACCGTGACCTCTAGAGCGCAGGCTTCCATGTGCGCAGCGGGAATCGCCAGCCAAGCTCCACGCAGCCTCCGGGGCCAAGAGCAAGGGCAAGCCTCGCCGGCCAGCTAAGGGCTTCTCACTCTGCGGGATGGAGAGGGACTTGGACGACCGTCTGGATTCACCCTTGCAGGGCGGGTCTGAAACCCGACTCTCCTTCCAGCTCGGTCCCTCGCGTCCCGCCCCTAGACGTCTGAATGGTCATAAAACGGACCGAGGGGCCAGGCCAACGTGGCTCGTTGGTCTAGGGGTATGATTCTCGCTTAGGGTGCGAGAGGTCCCGGGTTCAAATCCCGGACGAGCCCATATTTATGTTCCATACACCCATAAATCGTACCAGGCTCCGGATGAGTAGGCTGACCTTTTAAAGACCTAAAACTCTGCTGCCCCGTGGTACTTCCTAGAAAACAGGTAAGTCTTGCTAGGTGGTGGCGGCGTGGACGCAGTTCTTTAATTCCCTACACTCAGAAGATAGAGGTGGGTGGATCTCTAAGAGTGTGAGGCCAGGCAGATCTACAAGAGTTCCGGGACAAGAAATTTTAAAAAATTAAATAAGCAACAGCACTTGGCTCAGGAGGCCAGAGTTGTAACATTCCTTTGTCTTTTGTTTTGTTTTTGTTTGTTTGTTTGTTTTTCAAGACATGGTTTCTAGGTATAACAGTGCCGGCTATAATGGAACTAAACTGTAGACCAGGCCGACCTCAGACTCATCGCGATTCGCTTGCCGCTGCCTCCCAAGTGCTAGGATTAAAGATGTGCCACCACCACCGGGCTTAGCATTGTAAAGAATTATGTTTATTTTTATTATTTATTGGGAGTGGGGGGTCGGAGAAGCCAATGAACTCCTTGTGGAAGTGGGATTTCCGTCTCCACCTTGTGAGTCCCTGGGGATGGAACTCAGGCGATCCTCCCAGGGAACCAGAGCTGACGAAGGGAGCCTGGAGCCAGGATAGAAAGAGCGGTTATGTCAGAATGCGAGACCCAATCCCACGAGAGTGGTTATTTAGGTTTAATCATAGCCTTTGAATCTAGAGCTCAAATGAGCTGGTCGACTAACTTCCTCCGGCAGTTTTCTTTTCTTTTTTTTCTTTTTAAATACATTTATCTATCTGGTGCCGGCGCCCGCATGTGTACGTGTGTGTGTGCGCGCGCATGCATGTGTACATACATGCATGTATGTTTACGCATGTGAAAGTCAGTGGGTAACTTTCAGGAACTGGCTGTGTCCCCCGGTCCACCATGTGCAGTCTGGGGACTGAACTCCATCTCGCTTGGCAGCGAACACCTCTAACCACGGAGCCATCTCAAAGGCCCTGTTTTGTTTTATTTGGTTGTTTTGAGGCAGAGTTTCTCTGTGTAGCCCTGACTGTCTTGGAACACGATTTTGTAGGCCAGGCGGGCCTCGAACTCAGAGATCTTCCTGCTCCACTACTGAGAACGTGTGTCACTACACTCGGGTCCTGTTTTTTAAGTAGTACATTGAAATATTACCTGGTACATTTGGGAGTCAGAAAAGTGATTAACTAATAAGTTATTAATTTATATTTTCTTTGAAAAACCTCGGCATCAAAGCGCCGGGCACTGAACCGAACCCTCTGCCCAAGAACCGGGGCCAGACCACTGGCTGTAAATGTAAGAGGTGATTTATTGAGTACACAGGCGCCTGCGGATGCTACTGCAACTCGGGTGCAGAGCATACCGGGCTTGTAGGGAGTACACTATTTATGGAGTTTTAATGATTACATAAGTATCAGCATAGCAACAGATATTTCATTGGCTACTGAAGCATGGGCTGAGATCATCTGGGGGGGTCAGGGGTAGTTGCCAAGGACTAGGTTTCCTACATGAAAGACCCCGGCATGCTTCAACAATTAGTATCCGGGTCCTATGATTGCTACAGTGATCAGACACAATTGGGGGCCAGGGTAGTTGCCAAGGACTAGGTTTTCTAGTATTGTCATATGAAAGTTCCCAGCACGCTTCAGCAATTATTATCCAGGTCCCATGACTGCTATAGTGATCGCAGACATCCTGTTTTGAGGGTGAGACACCTGGTCTGGGTTTCTTTCATTAGGCAACGGCCTGGCCTTGCTTTTCTTTTCCTAGGGGGTCCTGGGTAGGGGTCTTTCATTCCCCCCTTGTTCTTGTGCATAGGTAGAATCTTTTACCTATTGTCCAGCCCTCTCTACTTAAGGTTTACTTATGGTTTCATCTGTTTGAGGGCATGGTATTGTTGAGTTAGGAGTAAGGCTTGAATTATTTGAGAATGTAGGGCCCAAAGGTTAGGAGGCCCATAAGAGTAGAGACTAGTGCAGTGAACCAGGGGGATTTGTTAAACCAACCCTCATACCAGTATTGTTGGGATTTAAATTTTTTCTGACGAACAGTTAGCCTCTTCTTGAGTTTATCCAGAGTTTTGGTTACTACCCCAGTTTTGTCTGCATAAAAACAACATTCCTCTTTGAGAGTGGCACATATGTCTCCCTTTCTTATTATACTATTCCCTATGTAAGGGAATTTTTTTTTTCTTTTGACTTTGTATCTCAACCAGGGGAAAGAGGGCGATGTATTTCTTTTCATGTTACTTCTTGCTGACTTTGGGACGAAGTTAGGGGACCCAAGAAGGCTGAAATGCAAGTCAAAAACAAAAAGGGAATTTAGGCAATGGGGTATCTATCCAGGAGCAGCTGATTGGCAGACTGTGTTGAAGAGACAGGGGGTGTCCACATCAGCTGAACTGGTTCACATCCACAGCAAGTCTAGGGCTCGCAGTCTTTAGGAGCAGGCTGTGGTCAGCAACTGATGTTCAGATGTGTTTGCCAGAAGTGGAAACCTGTTTAAGACATGTTTAAAACTGGGAACACAAGTTAAAACTTATGTATTTAATTGGAACTCCTTAGACCCATAGTATTAGTGATCAGGAAGGTCAGGAATCCCATGACCAGGAGAGAAAATCTTATTCTCAGGAACAGACAGGTGGGATAACTGGCTGCACTTATCTGGAGTCCTCTTTGACCTGTGAGAAGTGGATCCAAGCTGTATGACTTTTGATCCTCTGAAGCCTATGTGAATTTTGTTATACAAAAGGACATAAAGGTTATAGGTACAGTAGTATTATCAATTGGTACTGAAATCTACATTGTAGAAAAAGCAGATATCTGGGTATCTGTATTTTGTGTCCTAGCAGAAACTACAGATTTGGGCTAGTAGTGTACATTTGTCTTCTGTCCAGGGAGCCAGGTATGAATTGGACAGAGGTGTCTTTGGCCTGATGAAAAGCCCTTTAAGTTTATACTTAGATGATAACCAAAATAAACCTAAAAACCTTGAGCTTGTGATTGAACAAGTATTTACATCCTTTGATCCTTATTGAGACATATTAAGGCTTGATTTTTACATAAATAAAATGAGCTACCAAACTGACTATAGTCTTGTGGATTTGGCTGCCTGATGCTGTCAACCTGACAACCATTAATACTTTCAGAGATCTGAGAAGGATAAATTTTATACAGTCTCCAAATCTATTAAAAAGTGTCAGGTACCAGTCCATATACAGTCATACCCAAGTCTCCTCTATTAGCACTGGAGGCACAAGTATCAGGAACAGCATCAATCTTTACCAGGCCTGTAAGGTGAGTTTTCTTTCTCTCTGTGGAAGAGGGACATGGAAAAGACTGACCTTGTTTTGTCTTGTCAAAAGGGGTGTAATCAATTTTCCAGTGTCCAGCAGCTTTGTCCACATTCTAGGCCAGGTCCTGGCAGCAGCAGGTGTCACCTTTGAGCATCTTGCTCACTGGTCAGAGTCAACACAATCCAGGTGTAGGGACCAGGGTGCCTCGTAATCTTCTTTGGAGACTTTGGGTCACTGTTAGGATCTGGCAGTCTGTCTGATATTATAAACTTTTAAATTAATATTTTAAATGCCATGTTTTGCAGGTCTCTGAAGTATTAGAGGTTTGTATGCCTTAAGCTTAACTGTTGAAAGTGTAAACTTTATTAACCTTTATAAAACTAGAACTATATATTGTTAGGTCTAGCTTTAAACATTTTAACAGTATAAATATCTTATAACCTTATAAATTGAAAACATTTTAAAAACTTCTGAAATCCCTTAATGTTTTTTTTTATTGAAAATTAAAATACATTTTAGGCCTTTAAACCCGTTATTATCTGGGTAACTGTTAAATTATAAAACTTAGCATTCCTGTGTATAAAAGCATTAACATTTTAAATCTGAATAAAAACTTGTTGATAGGATGGTACCTCATAACTTTTATGTGGTCACCTTTAGTTAAGATGGTGGATCAGGTATCTCTTTTAAAATGGCTACCAGCCAGCCATGTGGCCAGCTTGGCATGTGACTGACTGTAAAACAGTGGCAACCTGCACCACTTTGGTTTTAGCTTTATGCTTGTAATAAAACTTAGATTATGACAGAAAATACAGATAGACCTTTTCAACAAAACAAGCATACATAATTTTTGAGAAATTAATTTTTAAAATTTAGCATTTGTAGAAATGAAACATCATAGTAAACAGTTTACATTTTTTTCTCTTGTAGTTATAACTTTAAAGCCATTTAGTTTCTGTGGAAAGACCGGATCTGGCCAAATGGCTTACCTGCTCCAGCCCTGTGTGTTTGAACAGGGAGCTCTGGTGGAGGGAAAAGCTGGCAGATCCTTTGCCAGCACGCCATGTGCGTGGGGCAGAGAGACAGAGAGACAGAGAGATAGAGACAGAGAGAGAGAGAGAGAGAGACCCCCATCCTCACATCCTGCACACCTCACAGCTTCTTAAGTTATAAGAGCTAGTTAGAAACAAGCCCAAGCTATCAGCAAAGCTTTCACAATTAATAGTAAGTTTCTATTTCATTATTGAGAGCTGGTGGTCCAGACGAAAAAGTCCAGCTACAGCTGTAGAGCTTGGCTTTCTTAGGAGGGGTTGATTTGCTATGTAGTCATTAGAAAGTCAGTCATACAGAAATCCTTGCTGTCAGGGTCAGAATGGATAGTGTTGTTTTTTTTTTTTTACCTATACCAATAAGGACTCAGAAGTCAGATATTGGGTGAAAACCTGATAGATCAGAGAAGCTGTGAGGGCTGCAGCAGCAGTTGGAGAACAGAGCAGCTGCCTCACTGCATGCTCAGGGATAGGAGACCCTGTTGCAGCATGTTCTATACCATGGCACATGGTGGGAGAGACTTTTGCCCAGCATGCCATTTGTTTAGGGCAGCAAGAGAAGACCCCTGACCTGCTCCACGTGTATAGGCAGGCAAGAACAGAGACAGAGGGATAAGATGGGCCAGTGACTAGCTAGGTTTGGCCAAAGTCCTCAGCCATAGGACCAACTTATAAAAAGAATTGTTTAGTTACTGAACCTGGGGCATATTAGATACTCAACCAATTGTACACACACATAAAAAAAAATTGGCATGCAACAGCTGTCTTAATATGAAAGTCACCTTATCAACAAGGTTGAAAAATTATTTATCCTGAACATGAAAACCTATTAGCAAATTTAAATTAACTTTACAAAACTTGTTACTTGTAGTTTTCCCCTTGTAATATTTCTATGAGAACTGCATCATCTAGGAGTAGATGATGATCTGGAGCTGGGACAGGGACCAAGGGTGAAGAAGGGGGAGGGGAGGAGCTGACAGTTTTCTCCGAGACTGCCTTCAGAGGAGGTCAGAGAGTCACAAACCGGGCTACCCATGTCGGGGGGGTCTTTAGCCAAATTTTCCCAAATAACAATGTATGCTATCTGGTCCAGGTGTCCATGGGGTCCCTTGTCAAAGACCCGATCCTAAACCTGTAAGATAATTTCTAGGTTAAAGGTCCAATCCCGTGGCCAGCCCACATCGAAGGTTGGCCACTCAGATGTGCAGTTTATACTGGTTAGAGGCACGAATCTGCACTTCATTCCAGTGATCTAAAGTAAGGCTCAAAGGGGTGGTTATGGTTTGTCCCATTCTTGAATCAGAAAACTCAAAATACAAAGACAAATAGACGAACAAGACAAATAACACAATTAAGCAACTCACAACGAGACACGCTGCGCGCTTTCGGCAGAGAACCGAAAGTAAATACTCAGACGGGTCAACAGGAGTAGTGGTCCTGTTTTTCCCTTTTCAGGCCCGTGAGCTCCAAACAATTGAGCTCTCCAGATCCCTGGCACGTCTGCCAGGGTGGCGGGGGGAGAAATCTGGGCTCGTCAGCCCCTTCTCAAGCCGCCCTAGTTACTGAATGACTACGTAGCCAACCTGCTCGGAGACAGATCAACATACATACATATAACAAGGAACAAAGCAGACAGGGTGCCGGCTAGCTTACCTCCCGGTGGCACTGGTGGTTCTGGGGCAGAAATCTCGGTGGAACCTCCAATGAAAAACCTCGGCATCAAAGCGCCGGGCACTGAACCGAACCCTCTGCCCAAGAACCGGGGCCAGACCACTGGCTGTAAATGTAAGAGGTGATTTATTGAGTACACAGGCGCCTGCGGATGCTACTGCAACTCGGGTGCAGAGCATACCGGGCTTGTAGGGAGTACACTATTTATGGAGTTTTAATGATTACATAAGTATCAGCATAGCAACAGATATTTCATTGGCTACTGAAGCATGGGCTGAGATCATCTGGGGGGTCAGGGGTAGTTGCCAAGGACTAGGTTTCCTACATGAAAGACCCCGGCATGCTTCAACAATTAGTATCCAGGTCCTATGATTGCTACAGTGATCAGACACAATTGGGGGCCAGGGTAGTTGCCAAGGACTAGGTTTTCTAGTATTGTCATATGAAAGTTCCCAGCACGCTTCAGCAATTATTATCCGGGTCCCATGACTGCTATAGTGATCACAGACATCCTGTTTTGAGGGTGAGACACCTGGTCTGGGTTTCTTTCATTAGGCAACGGCCTGGCCTTGCTTTTCTTTTCCTAGGGGGTCCTGGGTAGGGGTCTTTCATCTTGAAGGAAAAAAGGGTTCTTTGGAGGGCAAAGCTTTTGCCCAATATTCTAGTTATGTCATTTGTAAGGCTTGGTGTAAAATGAAATTCTGAGCCCTTCAAATAACAATTTAGAGATTGTGAGGGGGAGAGTGGGGGTGTGGGGGTGTACGTGCCTTTTTTCCCAGCACTCAGGAGGCAGAGTGAGGTGGATCTCTGTGAGTTTGAGGCCAGCCTGGTCCACAGAGTGAGTTCTGGGACAGTCAGAGCTACACAGAGAAACCCTGTCTCAAAAAGACAGAAAAGAAAGAAAGGAAGAAAGAAAGGAAGAAAGGAAAATACCTTTCAACCAGATTTTATGGCAGCATTTCTCAGTTAAAGTTCCCTCCTTTCGTGAGGAGGCCTAGATAATTTATTGAGCCTTGGGCAGTAGATCAGTACTCATCCCGAGTATACACGCGGACTTTGGACTCCCGTCCAACAATGTGAGATGCACTCTCACCCTGAACTCTTGGGGGGAGGGTCTAGACCCTGCCCTGGATGAAATGACAGACTATGGACACCCCCATGGAGGGCCTCACCCTCCCTGGGGAAATGAGAGGATAATGGGGGGACTGGGGGGAGGGCACGGGAGGAGGGGAGGGAAAGGGAGAGGGACCTGGACCTGACTTGTGAAGCAACCTTGTTTCTAACCTAAATTTAAATTTAAAAATAAATAATAAAAAAAGAAAAAAAAAAGTTACCTCCTTTCAGATGACTCCAGTTCGTGGGCCAAGTTGACACAAAACGAGCTATTTGCAAGGTGGTGATGCACGCCTTTAATCCCAGCACTTAGGAGGCAGAGGCAGGCGGATCTCCGTGAGTTCGAGACCACCCTGGTCTACAGAGCAAGTTCCAGAACAGACTCCAAAGCCCACACGGAAACCCTGTCTCCACCTGCACAGTGCTAGGACACACCTGACAACCATTTAGAGTTTCACCTGAGAGTGCAAATGGAAAGGCCGCCATTTGTGAATGGTCAGGATGGGAGCGTGTAAGGCTCCTGCCCCGTAGACCTAGACTTCAAGTAGTACTGACTGCCTGGAAGTCTAGGCTGAAATTACAGAACCTTCACAGAGCTGGAAACATTAGAGGTGATTTGCGCAACCCAAAGGCCTTTCTACAGCCGGTATGTGGCCTGTGGCGATGACAGACAGCTCCCAGAGAAGATATAGAGAGCTAGATAAGGTGGGCACCCCCATCTCCACCCGCGCCCAGCATTGTCCTTTCGACAGAACAACGGGAAAAGTCACGCTCTCTTTTCCTGTCGTGTTGGACCTTGCTGATGCATCCCCCCCCCTTGGTTGCTCAATTCCCAAGGCCAATTTGCATTTAGAGGAGCTTTGGGATACTCATGCAAGATTACCTTCACACACTATTCGTCAAGGGAAGGAAGTCCAGGACCTCATTTTCTTCTACTTCCTCTTCTTTTTGAAAAAGTTGGGGCTGGAGAGATGGCTCAGAGGTTAAGAACACTGACTACTCTTCCAGAGAGCCTGAGTTCAATTCCCAGCAACCACATGGTGGCTCACAACCATCTGTAATGAGACCTGGCGCCCTCTTCTGGCACGCAGATATGAATGCAGACAGAATACTGTATACATAATAAATAGATAAATAAATCTTAAAAAGAAAAGAAAAAGTTTCACTGCATATGGTACTAATCTCTGAAAGTCTTACGGGCGTGCGCCTCAAGGAACCAGGATAGGCACTAACTCTCAAGGAGCCAGGATAGGCAGTCAGCCCACGAAATGCACAAGGCTGAGCTCGCCTGTGACATTCCTAGGAGTATTTTGTTTCCCAGTAAAATGCATATCACACCCCACAACTTAGTTAAAAGGTACCGTGTGAGCCGGGCGGTGGTGGCGCACGCCTTTAATCCCAGCACTCGGGAGGAAGAGGCAGGCGGATCTCTGTGAGTTCGAGGCTGGGCTGGACCGACGGCCTCGAAAACAATACAGAGAAATCCTGTCTCGTAAAAACCAAAAAAAAAAAAAAAAAAAAAAAAAAAAGGTACCGTGTGTGTGTGGTTGGTGCCAAATTGCTCACGAGGCTACTGAGTCAGCTAAGATCCTTGCAAGATCATTTGTGTTAGAAATCACCAGAAGTTCAGGAGACTATGGAAAAAATGACCTGAGCAAACAGTTCTAACAGGCTTCGGGTCCCAGTCCTGAAAGGGAAGGAAGCAGTCCACCATGCCATGCCAGTACCGCAATTGCTAACGAACGTCAAACATTTCAAAAGCTGGGGCCGGCCACCACAATAACAGTGAAGGCTGCTTATCCCACTGAAGGCCACAACTCTTAACTCCAGTGGCACAAAATCAAACTTGCCGAAGGTGACCGCATAGCCACAGCAGTGTGAGTGTGGCGTTTACAAACCCTGTCTCTAATGCCATGCGCTCTGTGCTAGGACCAGTGTTCTTTCGAGCTCCTGAACCGTCCCCCAGTGAGTGACCCAAGAGTTAAGACAGATAAAGCGCTACATGAGACACCGTTGGCAGATGCCGGCTACATGGATGGCACAGGTAAGGGCACCAACCAGCACCGGGCAGCTGTTGAAATGCAAACGAACGAACACTGACACCGTGTGGCTGGAGAGAGAAAGAGAGCTTAGCCAGCGGGCTAAGAGGAGCAGCGTGGATAGTGTAGACTGTATCGACGTTGTTGGGCTCTACTTAGGGAGGTCTGACTTTACGGATGGCTCGCTAGGGAAAGAACTGGCAGGGTCTGGTTCCGCCACCATGGGGACAGCAGATGCTGAAGTATATAATGGAGTTGGACCAGAGTCAGTAGTTTTCCATAAGGCAGCCCACAGCTGAGTGGGCTGATCTCCTGATCTCCTGAGTTTTGGAGATCAGGAAGCAGTCACACTTACCAAGCTATCTGACTGACACTGGAGGCTCTTCACATGCTTGTCTAAAGTCTGGTCACGGGGAGCAGACACAGGCTGGGAAGTAGCTAAAGCTGATATTCTGATATTCTGCAAGGTAACCAAAAATCTGAGTCGTGTTCCAAAATACGACCTCGAGAGACTGGCTATACAGGACCCGTAAATGTCAGTAAGTCTGCAAATACTTACTCACCTGAGGACACTGCCACAAGCCCATTGGAAAAAAAAATTGTTTTGCTTATTTGAGGTGCAAGCAGTCAATGGGTCAAGCACATTGGGTAGTATCCAAATCAGTGTGACATGCAGACACACTCCACACCCAGGAAATGGGTAACAATTAGGGGCAGTCATTTCACGATCACTGATGCAAAGAACTGAGGTAAGGACTAATTGTACTTCCGTTTGTTTTACAGCTCTCCACAAGCTATACTGATTGAGATGAGTAACGGGTAATTGAAACAGAAGTTAAATGGGGCCGAAAGGATGGCTCAGTGGCTGAGGGCACTTGCTGCTCTTTCGGAGGACCTGGATGACTTCACAAAACCGACCTCACATAGATCACAACTGCTTTTAACTCCAGCTCCATGGGTCCAATGCCTTCTTCTGGCTCCTGCAGACGCTGAATGCACAGCGTACACATACATACACGCAGGCACAGACACATTGAATAAGTAAATAAATGCTTTTATTTTTACTTTATTTATCTATTTATTTTGGTTTTTCGGGACAGGATTTCTTTGTGCGAGAGCTCTGGTTGTTCAGGGCTTTATTATTATTATTATTATTTAGGTGGGTTTTTTTGGTTTTTTTCGAGACAGGGTTTCTTTGTGGCTTTGGAGGCTGTCCTGAAACTCACTTTGTAGACCAGGCTGGCCTCGAACTCACAGAGATCCGCCTGCCTCTGCCTCCCGAGTGCTTATTATTTGGTTTTTTGAGACAAGGTTTCTTTGTATTGTTTTGGAGCCTGTCCTGGAACTCATTCAGTAGACCAGGGTGGTCTCGAACTCACAGAGATCTGCCTTTCTCTGCCTCCCCAGTGTTGGGATTAAAGGCATGTGCCACCAACGCCCGGACCTCAGGACCTTATTTTGTAGACCAGACTGGCCTCAAACTCACAGAGGTCTTCCTGCTTCTGCTGGGATTAAAGGCATGCACCACCACCACTCCACCTATAAATAAATATTTTTTTAAACCCAACAACTAGGGTTGGACAGATGGCTCAATGGTTAAGAACACTGGCTGCTCTTCCAGGGGACCTGAGTTCAATTCCCAGTACCCACATGGTGACTCACAGCCATCTATAATGTGATCCAGTGCTTCCTTCAGGCATGCAGGCATACATGCAGACAGAACACTGTATACTTAATAAGTAAATAGATAAATATTAAGCAAGAAAACCCAACAGCTAGAGTCTGAACAAAGGTATCCTGCACAGGAGGGCAAAGGCACTCCTCAGGGTTGGTGAGATGGCTCAGCATTTAAGACACTTATCACTAAGCCTGATGACTTGAATTTGACCCCCCAGGAGCCATTTGATGGAGGGAGAGAATTGACTCTTACAAATTGTTCTCTGCCCTCCACTCTCACCCACAAACATAAAATTACACAAATAAATGCAACTTTCTTTGGAGACAAGATCTCAGTGCATAATCCTGGCTAGCCTTAAATTCTCTTTGTAGACCAGGCTGGCTTTAAACTTGCAAAGATCTCTCTGCCTCTGCTTAAATGCTGGAAATAAAGGCATGAGTTCCACCATGCTGCCCTAATATCTTTTTTTGTGGGGAGGGGCAGGGTCTTACTACATAGCCCTGGCTGGCCTTGAATTGACTGCATAGAATAGGCTTTCCTTGAACTGGAGATCGGCCTGTCCCTGCCTCTCCAATATTAGCATGAAAGGGTTTCTCTCTGTGTAGCAGTCCTGGCTGTCCTGGAACTCACTATCTAGAACAAGCTGGCCTCAGACTCACTGAGATACACCTGACTCTGCCTCCCAAATGCTGGATTTAAAGGCATGAGCCGCCACTGCCATCATCTGGTCCAGTATGCACTCTTAACCATTGAACCATCGCACTAACCCCTGGCCAAAAGTAGTTTTAAAAAGAAGGTACTCCTGGAAGCCATAAGGTTATTCAATGAAAAATCCCAGTGTCAGAAGTGGACTTCCCGTGGGCTGTCGGCCCCTGAGGCTCCACATTCTGTTAAGGCTATTGCTGTTGATATCGGCTGCATTCTGGAGCTGGACATTTAGTTCCCATTGCAGAAGGCAGCACCCAACTGTCTGTAACTCCAAGATCTGACACCCTCCCACAGACGTACATGAAAGCAAAACACCAATACACATAAATAAAATTTAAAAAAAAGAAAATGCCCTACAGATTTGTTATAGGCAGATCTTATGGAGACATTTTCTCAATTGAGAGACTTTTTTCCTGGGTTAAGTTGACATAAAACTGACCAGCACAACTACCAACATTCCAAGCAAGATAAACGCACTGATTCATGACTCTTGTGGCCTCAGCCAAGGGCTTTCTGATTTGATTTGAAGCCCCTCCAATGGAGGGAACTTGGTGCTTATGTGAGGGCAAAAACTTGTGACTAGGAAGGCTCCAGTCAAGGGGCTATTGCTCTTGTTGCATTAAGCAGGCCTGTCAGAGGGCCTTCTAATTTGTGTTCACACCCCTAGGTTACTGCTGCTGTCAGCCTTGGTTGTAGAGGAAGCCTTCTTTGGAAATGAGAGGTAACTGTGGAGGTGTGGTCAGCCGCTCGCAGGAAGTGGCTGTTGCTGTAGCACAGTGACCCAACAGTCAGACATAAACAGAGGCAGATAATCAGATGTTTGTATCGTCCCCTCCAAAGCTCAAGGAGAAGCATCGAAGAGGAGGTGGACGGAATGGGAGAGCAGCGGGAAAGGGAAGAGTGTCATGCGGTTATCTCCTCCAAACTTAAACTTCCCTTCTGGGAAGGAGAGGGAGCCTCACAAGACTCAGGAACCTCATGAAACTTATGAGATTCACAAGATACGCACCCCGTACCAAGGTCATACAATCATTACATAGCTGCTAGGGGAAGGAGACTCTTTTATGATGCTAAGTGCAAGTTGTTGGAACTGGAGAGATGGCTCAGTGTCCTATTCCAGAGGCTCTGAGTTCAATTCCCAGCAACCACATGGTGGCTCACAACTATCTATAGTGGGATCTGATGCCCTCTTCTGGTGCAAAGGCATACATGCAGATAAAGCACTGCTAAAATAAATCAATAAATCTTTAAAAAAAAAACACACACACACACATACACTCACAGAAAGTTGTCTTAGAAACTCGAGTGATAGAGCTCTCATCAATCATCAGTAATGTAGCTGCACAACACATGCTCCATAATTCTCCCAGCTCCCTAGGAATCCCTAACCCATGCTCCCTAAGAATCTTTAACCTGTTCTCCCTAAGAATCCCTAACCCGTGTTCCTTGGGAATCCCTAACCCATGCTCCCTAGGAATCCCTAACCTGTTCTCCCTAAGAATTCCTATCCCATGCTCCCTAAGAATCCCTACCCTGTGCTCCTTAGTGCTCCCTAAGAATCCCTAACTTGTGCTCCAGCAAGAATCCCTGCCCTATGCTTCAGTAAGCTCAGCAAGGCCAGGCAGGAAGCTAAGGTCAATTTTGAGGAACAATACAAGACAGAGAAGAACAAACGTTTTTTCCAGAAGCTTTTTTCTGTTTTTGGTTTTTCCAAGCAGGGTTTCTCTGTGGCTTTGGAGGCTGTCCCGGAACTCGCTCTTGTAGACCAGGCTGGTCTCAAACTCATAAAGATCTGCCTGTCTCTGCCTACCTAGTGCTGGGCTTAAAGGCATGTGCCACCACCGCCTGGTCAGAAACTTTACTTTTAGGTGTATTTTTGTTTCCATTGTTAAAAAAGAAAGAAAGAAAGAAAGAAAGAAAGAAAGAAAGAAAGAAAGAAAGGAAACCTCAGCAGCCTGCTGGTTCACCAAGCTATGCTTGGGCAAAGTGTCTCTTTGGTCTGTCATCAATGCCCTCCCTGTCTGATTTGCTTAGCTGTTTGTTTACAACTCCCCAAGAAAGGTACGTGATGCCATCCTTTAAAGAATACCATGTAGGCAAATTTCTGTTTGATCCCCTACAAAACTGGCTTCTTTTTAGCCCCTTCAAGTGTACAAACAATCAAAAGACACCACTGCTTAACTCCCACCTCTTCTACGTAGCATCCAGTTAGAGGCAACGCCTTTACTACATGGACCCTCGGGGGCATTCAGCACCAAACTGAGCACCAGGCTAGGAACATGTGATGGTGCTCACTATGGGACTTCACTATGCGGAGTGGCCGCTCTCAGGCAGCGTGAGATCAAGACCAATGACCGATGCTATGAAGCATGTTGTGTTGACAGACTACGAGGTTGGTGGGTGTCTTAGTCAGACGGGGTTTTATTGGAATGACTTACAGGCTGCTGTCCAACAATGGCTATTGTGAATGCGAAGCCCAAGAACCTGTAGTCTACAAGGCTGGGTGTCTCAGCTGGAGCGGATGTGCTGACAAGACGAGGGCAAATAGGCGAAGGGGGAACACATCCTTCCTTCTTCTTCCCTTGTTCTTTTTTTTAAATATTTTTTAGATTTATTTATTTATTACATATACACCAGATTGAATTGTAGATGGTTGTGAGCCACCATGTGGTTGCTGGGAATTGAACTCAAGACCTCTGGAAGAGCAGTCAGTGCTCTTAACCTCTGAACTATCTCTCCAGCCCCTCTTCCCTTGTTCTTATATAGGCTTCTTCCAACAGTGTTCTGCCTACATGCATGTCTGTATACCAAGTGCATGCAGTGTCTGTGGTGGCCACAGGGGGGCAATGGATCATCTAGAACTGGAGTTACAGACCACTGAGAGCTGTCCTATGGGTGCAAGAAAACAAGCCCCAGGGACTCTTAGATGCTGAACCACCTCTTCAAGCACTAAAACATTTTTGTTTCTTTTACACAGGATCTCACTGTATCATTCTGGTTGTCCTGGACTCACTCTGCAAGCCAGGCTGCCTTGAACTCACAGGGATACACTTGCTTCTGCCTCCCAAGTGCTAGCATTGAAGGCAAGTGTCACCATTGCCAGACCTTCCTTCCTTCCTTCCTTCCTTCCTTCCTTCCTTCCTTCCTTCCTTCCTTCCTTCCTTTCTTCTTCTTTTCTTTTGGTTGTGAGCCTAGCCTTTAATGGCTGAGCCATCTCTCCAGCCCTCTTCATCATTTTTTTTAACAGCAGTTTTTTTTTCTTCAGGATACCATTCTCATCATAACTCCCACATGTACATAAGAACATGAGATAAATCCTTTTGTGCATGTATCTTTCGCCATTTTTAGGTGTAGGAGTCATGACGGAGGTCTCAGTGCTCAGATGAGCACGAGGGGAACCTTAACCACTCAGGGTTGATCCTTCAAAGGAAGAAATGCTATGCATGTTATCTGCCCAGAAGGCTGGGGTGGACATGCTCTCTAGCTTGGTGACCTCTGCTCTACCTGAGTGGCAGGAGATTTTTCCAGCAGCAGGATCCTCCTCCAGACCCTTCTTGCAAATGTGTTTTTCCCAGAGTTTATAGAGCCCGTCTTTATGGACTTTACCAAGGGTTTTGATGTGGTCATGTCTGTTCTGTATT